CTACTGCTCAATTAATCACGGCCATGGTTCCTATTGTTAACTAACAATAGTTAACGTGTAATGATATAATGCAGTAATACGCATGCGTACAGCAGCAATGACCCAGATGAATCCAGTTTATGAGAAATGGAATTTTAATTACAGATTACAGATAGCTCGTGTTTCCCATCTTGAATATGTTATGTTTTCTTTGTTCTTTGTTTTGCTGTGCGTTCACGCCCTTTGCTCTTCCGGGAACCATAGATAATTTTATTGAGCAAAAGGCAACTAAATTTAATTAATATTGTAACTCTCACATATGGCCGACCGTCCAAGGAGGCAGACATTAAAGACATTATTTTTATCCATTCAGACTGCGGTCGCATTTCCCTCGAAATCAATGGTATGTGCGAACATTGCGGCACTATTATATTGGCAATATCTACTAAATCCATATAGTAATTATCAAAAGTAGGATATCAAAAGTAAGTACAGATCTTTTGGACAATTTTATTTCCTGTGAACTTAGGTAGTCGATTATTTTATACCTCATTTTAATATTATATATAATGTAAAGTCATGGAAATCAAACAGTCATTAGCCATTAGATATCATCAGACTATGTCTGTACAATGGTTGTTAAACTACAATAACGGCGGTCATTGTGCTTAAAACGGCTCTTATGGTGGAGGCGTTTTTCACCATATCGCAATATACCGATGAATAACCTATTTTAAACCGAGTAGGCGTAAACCATAAAGCAACCATGTTTACTTCATGAATTTTCTAATTTTTCTAATAGCTAATAGTTCATCTCTGACAAACACACTTGCGAATTTATACACGAAAATATACATGTCACACTACGATACAGACTTTCCGTTTTCTACATTGTAAAAATCTTTCGCTTTTATGCAGAACAATACAGTATTTTAACCAAGTAAAATCATATTTGTTAAAGTTATTGTCCATACGTGAGTTGTTGAATGCAATACATATTTTTTTAATTTCATTAAGCTTCTTTCAGTCATAATAATATAGCAAATAGCAAACATTCTGTAATATTCTCATGAATTATTCTTAATATATTTCTGAATATATTTATTAAAATACCTTGCTTTCAGTTTTTTGTTCAAAAATACCCGAAAGAATTTGACAATGTCGAAAATTGAAAGTCTTTACCGTAGTGTTATGTGAGCAAGTGAGTAAACTCACATTAGTTTACTGGTTGTACAGCCATTCAAAATATATTATTGTTGTGCTCTTGTGAATAAAGTCAGATTATGCGTCAGATTATTTAGAACAATTCACTAAAGAGCTGAACTCAAATATGTCACATCTAATTTTCAATAAAAAAGAATATTTCTTCTAAATATACAATCATGATATATATTTGCTCTGGTATTAGAGATAACGTTGTAAAATACAATTTGTATTTCAAATTACCTAGAATAGTCACTGCATATTGTTAACGATTTTAACTTGCTTCTAAAACCTGTATATAAATAAACAAAAAAGCTAATTGTAGCTATAAGGTTATGGACGCATGTATTTCCGTTGAAGTGAATATTTACCATTCAATCGCACTGTTGTAATCGCACTAGACGCTGCTAGTACTTGACATATTCCGCTACATTGTAACTGATTACACATGTAACACTATTTTTAGGTTTGCATGTTTGCATATTTGCATATGTTGGTACATTACAGTGCCTAAACTTTTTGTTCCTTGTCCGAGGTACATCATGTATTTTCTGTCGTAGTATCGTGTGAATAGTTGAGTATTTGGTGTTAGTTTTTCACCTTGTTATCCTATAAAGTAATTAACGGATCTTTAGCATTTCAATAATATCTTTGACAACATTTTTTACGGTTGGTTGACTCATTTACATATACTGTTTTATTTAGAATAGGTTAGGCTTGATGTAGTTGCATGAATTCCAATTGGATTGTAACATTAATTTATCAGTCTTCTGGCTATCATTGCTTTCATAGCTCAACTTCAAAATGACAATATTCCTTCGTTTATCCATATTTTCATCTTAGATTTGTTCAATTTGGCATTATATTTTCTGGCTTATTCCATTTTTTTCATTAATATATCATATGCTTCATTTTCATTTTTATGATATATATGTCTTTAACGATTGCTCCAATGACAGTAACGTCTCAAATTTCTTGCTCATTTTACTTTTGAAATAGTTTGCCATCAGAATTTATGCAATTAGACATTCGTTTGTAACGGTATATTCCATAAGGCGTATTCAAACTCTCTGGGATCCAGTCATATTCTTAATGAACCATATATATTTAAACCCATTAACTGGATTGTGGGTGGTTTGTGTTGCCCAGCATATATATTTTAAACCCATTAACTGGATATCGCCTATATACCTCGATGACAGTCAAACAGAATTTCACTTGGTACATAATAGTTTGCAAATGGTATATTAATTTGAAACATTTTGACTGTGTATATGGTTACCATAGCAACACAAGTTATGGATGTAATAGTTAATCTGGAAAGAAACTTCATTCATACTAATTACTTATACTAATCTTAGTAATTAGCATGGTATATTTTCTACAGAATGATATGAATGTTACGGTTGCATTGTCTAAATTTACATAAGTGTTTATTTGGGTAAGGCATGACGTAAACTATGGTCTGGTATTTGACGCGTTGCAATGACAATGACTAAAATTAGTACTACAATCCCGGTATCAGCCCGTGAAATCTAGGCTGGCTGTTGAGAAATTATAGTCATTATTGTTTTGATAAAACTGCATTTATTAAATCATAGTACTTTTTAAGGTGAATATCATATGTATTGCTGTAAGCTATAAAAGTCACATCGAAGTACATGCTTTTAAAAACAGTTACTATTGTCAATATTATTATGATTTATATAATATAAGGTTATTACGTGGATACCTCAAAGTATGCACGAAGACAGTACAGGAGAAGTACTGTCTAAGTGCATACTTTGAGGCATCAACGTAATAACCTTATTATTATACATCTTTTCCTCGGAAATCATATGATACATTATGGGAATGCCTAAATCGAACAAATTATTTAGAACAAAATCAGCGAACTTCTTTGTGCGAAGTCCGGTCTAACCCAGGTGGCAGCCATGTCGGATTTTATTATTAGAGGACGCTCACACGAGTAATCATTCCATGTTTATAATTTGAATTTCCTAATATGATAGGATGAAAATATTCCGTAAAATACCGCAAAATCACGGAACGATGTAACTCATAGCGTTATATAATAATATAACTTATTCCCTCACAATATAAATGAGGATAAGTGCAATACAGACCTTCAAATCATCTGACATTGTCTCATGCATACCTTGAGGCAAATATATGTTTGTCTTTCTCATTTAGATATTTACTTAGGTGAACTTCATTTTGTTCACATAGATTTTATGTCAGTCTTATGGTTCGTGTCGCACGCTATATTGTAAAGAGCGAAATAGTAATGATAAGGTTTACGGTATAACCAGGATTTACTTTTCACCTTTATAGCCATGCATAATAGTCATATGATCTTATAATATCACACGAAAATAGAAATAACGGGGTCAGAGTGCTTATACTGATATTCTATTTCATCAAAATAGTATAATAATGTTTCTTAACGATTTATCTAAATGTCACAATTTCTACGACCCATAATGCAATAATTTAAAATTATACTACATATAAAAGTTTAATATAAATTATTTTTAAAGGTAAATTAACCCAAATCGGTAATTCATATGTCCTGTATAATGATTAAAAATATTATTACCATTCTAAGCAGTCAAATTGAAAATGCAATATTTATCTGTTTATTATTATTTAATTTTAAGGATAAATTAACCGAATTCGCCCTATGTGTGTCCTGCTGATTAAGAATGTTTCTTAAGCGGTCCAAATAATTGTTCAGATCAGAAGAATAATGCTTCATTTGTTTGCATATTGTATATGAACGCAAATGCAATGTGTACTCGACAATAGTTATGATCTCCTATGTGTACTCCCGAGTAAGTTGATGCCTCAAATTTTATAATTGTAACGTCATAATTGCTGCACACTGAATTGCATATACTGTTTGTGTTATATTAGCCACAGGGAATGTGTGAAACAATATTACAGTACACTAAATGTAAGGATTGTATCGTCATACAGTCTATACCACTGAAATTTTAAACGCTTGAACTGGTATCAGATTAGTAAGCTAGTTTTTTAAGCGAACATGTTTCAGAGATTATATAATACAAGTCATGTACATGGTCTGTGTTAAGTTTGATTTCCTCGGTTTCCCCGCTCAGTAACAACACAAATTATGAATTATGAATACTAACATACTTGAAGTATTAGAAATATTTGAAAATTTACCATTTATTGCCATGTATTAAGTTATAAATTTACAATGTTGGTTGAAAATAGGTCCTGAGTGTTTTCCATAATAGGTAACTTCCCTGGTGTAAATTCAAGAATTGATGTATTTTATTATCAAATGTGACCAACAAAATATATATCTATATACTATGCTATATACTATATTTTCTTATAAACATTTGCCAGTTTTTAGTGAATCCTTTAACATATTTCTTTAACATATTTCTAGGCATATCAACGTGAAATTAACTTAAGTTAATGTTTTAGTTTGGAAAATGGAGATCTACGTTCCTGCATTGCACAAACATGTCCAGCTAAGACAGTTACGGGGGGGTGGGGTAACTGAATAAAGTACAGATGTTCTTGTTCATCATTACCAAGCAGCAGCTTTTATATCAAATATTTACATTGCGTATATTATAATATGATGTCAATACGTGTATAGTTGCTTGCGAGGAGTGTTGATGACGATATGGCAAATTATATGTAAGTTATTTCATCAATATCTGAAATCCGAAAAAAAATAATGAGCGACATTCTTACTTATACGCAAATGATGTTATGGTATGGTGTCATCATTACATAATATGCTTTTTTGTAGATTATTGTGACTTTCAAGACGGAGCATGGCAGTAGGGGTAAGTACTTAACATTAAGGTGAAACATTTAGAGGTCATTTTTGTTATTTTATTATTTTATTATAACAATTGTTATATATACAATAACTTGTTAAATTATATCAGTTCGGTATTGGTCAGCTCAATGATTTCCATATGTTTTTTTCCGTTCTTTTTGTCAATGATTCACTAACAGCAATGTATAATTTATTTTTGCACACAATGAAGATTCAGACGATGAAAGATTAACATTTTTTACATAGAGATAATTGTATGAATAGGTTTGGTTCCATAATTAGAAAATTTGGGGAAATACTATTTTTAGATGTAACACCAATATATTTGTATAATAGAAATGTGTAATTAAGTCTGTATGTTTTTTTTAATCAGGTTAAGCCATGGTATTCCATCCGTACTGAAATATTAATAGCATATTTCCTGCTAATAGCTTTGGTATTGACATTGATTCTTATTCTGTTATTTCCCCGGAAACATAATGCTGTTTTAGGTAAGGCAATGTTCAAACATTTATGACGCTCTAGTTAAAATCCGCCAGAAACAGTGAGCAAAGCTATTCACTTATTTAAACTAAGATACTAAATATTTCCAACCCTCCATTGATACAATATAATCAAGTGAAACAGAACAATCAATATATAAACTAAATATAAACCATGATCACTTGTCTAAATATAAAATATGTTTTTCTATTCTCTCTGGTGTTGTAATTTAAATATCACACTTTGAGTTTATCACTGTTTTGCAGATTCAATAGAATGTTATGAAGATTCAAATGGGACAGATTATAGAGGTCTAGTTAATATTACTCTTAGGGGCAGACATTGTGCTGCGTGGAACTCTGATAATCACCCAATGACGCGGCAGAATCATCCGGATGCCGGCATTGGCGATCACAATTATTGTCGAAATCCTGATGGCGATGTGACAGTATGGTGCTACATCACGGATGAAACAGCGCTGTGGGAATATTGTTTTATTGGTGAACCTAGTGATGACTGCGGTAAATAGCTTACTGAGTTGTATGTGAATTTGGCGATTTCTTGTTTTCATAACGTACGTGTGTTACGTAACTTCTTTTATGTGGAAGGACAATTCGCCAATAACGTGTGTCGCACCTGTTCTATTCAAATTACAGTAAAATACGTGTTGCTTTCGCCGACAAATCACCTGCTTAACTTAACAATCAGTTGACTGATCATACAATCACACAGCTCGCCGATCTGAAAGTATTTTCGGTTCAAATACAGGATGCCGCTAATTGATTTGTACCATTTTGAAATAATGAGGGGGGCGTTGTGTTTTTCACTCGAGTCATTTTGGAACAACTTAGTTATGAGAAACAGTTCTTCCCTAGTCAATGGGTGTTGTTGAGAATAAGGAAACTAGTAAACGGGCCCTGTTTGAAATAAAAAAATAGATTATTTCTCAGTAAACAGGGATAGCTGAGAACAAGGAAACGGTACTGTTCAGAGCTTAAAAAAGTACTTTTCTAGTGAATGTTGCACGTAAACTGTCTAATGATAGCGGACTGTGAGAACAAAAGCGACGAGCAAAAAGTAGTATTACTACAAATATCCCCATGTGTTTCAACATTGCTTTGTTTCTCTAAAGTGACTCACATGTTTTGTTCACAGGGATAATGACAGACACAAAGTCTACTATTACGATTGGTTATTTAGAATCCACAGGTAGGGTCATTCATGAGCAAAATAAAAAGAGGTTTAACAACATTGTGAAATACGGTTTAAATAACAATATATGCAATATACAAGATGTGCCAATACATGCATATGTGAATATGAAAAGTCAAACAATAACGGCATTTTGTGTGAAGAACTTTCACATAGTACTTTACAGATCTGTTACAGCAAAACATTTACTAAACTATAATGGATATCGTTGTTTTTTATCTAGATCTTCGAAAGAAGACTGTGTCTAAAACCAATGGTATTATATGATTATATTCGTCGGCTGAATTAAATATATTCCATGACATACATCGTTATTGTTTAAAACAAATGTGGATTCAATTACATTTTTAATCATTGATAATTTTAACCCATGTACAACACTTTCTTTTACATATTAAAGCAGCAAATACGACCTCTTCACCTGACAATATTACCGATATAGCGAATACAATATATTCGAATACAATTTTCAGTCTCACCCAATTACTGACGTCTATACAAAAAGCCTCAGCGTCAATGCCAGGTAGGCCGATGTTACTGTTCAATGAATAAGCCTAATTAGTGTAGAATTATTAACTAGGATTAGTTTTCCGGGGAGGAGAAGAAAAACCATATAATGTATAAGTGATACAGTGCAAACAAAAATATTTCATTTATAATGTGGTTTCAGAATCAACATCTCAGACACCAACGGCTGATACCCTAACCCAAGGTCAGTATTGCTACATATTGTATACATTACTGTTGTGTATCGCGCTATGTTTTTATATTCAGGATTTTCACGTTTAATTACTTAACTTTAATTAACTTTAATTACACCAAATTATTTAATAGTCGTATATGTAATAGACAATTCTGACATATACATATATCTTTAATAGACCTATTAAATCATATATACATAATTCATAATCCATGTTAATTATAATTACTTCGCGGAGTCTACAATAGTGTGCATATGTGTTACAATGACCAGCAAGTCGACTAAAATTCTATAGTGTATTTTAAAAATTGGTCTTATTATTATTATTAAT